TATATTTAGTATTACATTTAATTACACTAGATACAATGGTTGACAGTGACAAAAGAATGAAAAATAATTCTTAGCTTCATCTTGGCATTTGAAATGAATGTCTCCAACCCTGCATAAAGATCCTTTTAAGATGCTTCTTCTTTTCTCTATATAATTTTTTCCAGCAAAGATTAAAGTTCTCATCTGGGTCAACTTCATGGTCATAAAGCTCCTCAGAAATAATATGGTCCCAATCGGGCATGAATGTGGCATTGTTAAAGTTAAGCCAAACTGTGTACCTATAGCGACTTGTCCTCATGGAATAGCCCATGACCTTAATGTCACGTAGACGAGGTTGGTCAGTGTCTGGGTCTGCTGAAGGGTGGAGGCCTGGTCGAGGGTACTGACTAAATGCAGCTCTCTTTCCTTGTAGGTTATCTGCCATCTTTACACTGATTAAACCTTCCCCATAGTTGTCTTGATGTTTTCTTTCTAGTTGTGTGACATTAGAATATGAGCTACGATCAAAGCCCCATGCTTTCTTGATTAGAGGAGACAGGCTACTACCCTCAGTGCAAACCTTAATCTCCCTGGAATCATCAGGACACGGAAAAAGAGCAGGTATTCCAGCCAGGTCTACCACTGTTGGAAAAAGATCAACAAGCTCTACCAGACCATTATTCACCTGAAGACTTATACCATTCATGAATGAAGACTCAAAATCCTTATTTTTCTTGAAGGACCTCATTTCTGTCTTGTCTGACAAGCTTGATTTCAAGTGTGTTTTGTATAAATTAGAAATCTTCTTAAATATTTTGCTAAATCCAGTGAACAGAGAGGCTGATTGATGGTTTAATCTAGAAACTATAAATGGGACTCTTGTTGCAACTTCAAAATTGCTAAACTTTGACCATTCCTGATGCTCACCAAGAGCCCAGCCTGTAATACAAAGAGATATGATGTAAATTACCTCAAATTTAGTGGATAAAATATGTGAGTAATATATGATACATAAGATCATCACCTCTTCATGAGAAAAATCTGTCCTCACCATGGTCTCCAATGAGAGCAACAACAGTGTCTGGAAAAAGACTGCTGACCGTGGCAAGAAGATCACCCACAAGAGAATCTGTGTAGGTTGTGGCAGCATAGTATCCTTGTCTTATATACCTTTAGAATAAAATAAAAGGAAATCAATACAATGAAGCATACATAAAGAACCCTATAGGTTTACTCTGCAAAACTCATTACTGATTCCCCATCTATTTTGAGTAATGAAGGTATCTTGAGAAATAAAGCTGATTTACATGCCATGCCCACTGTGTGTTTAATTTAGTAATTGTTTTAACATATAGATAGCTCCACAAGTACTAAGTCACCCATGAGTCAATTACCAGAACTACCTGTCTCACTTGTTAACCCTTTTCCTTAATTTTCTATAATATTCTTAGGATCTAATACTGCTGTTAGTAATGTCAATAACGATATAGTGATTATAATGCTTATAGCAAAAATATCAGTGTCAATATTGATAGCATTATCAAAAAAAGTGTTTTCCCGCTATTTCAAAGAGGAGTGAGGTCACAAGATCTACTAATTAACTCATTTGTGGCTAAGCACAGGCAGAGCCATCCATGTGTAGAAACATTTAACTAAACAATTAGAAAGTGAACAAAACATTTTTCCATCGGCATTGGGTTAGCATTCAGCTGATCATTAATTTCTGGGTCAGTTACACTTACTGTGATGCATTTACTGGAAGCTATGTGTAGGTTCATTTATATGAATACTTTTACATGGAATTAAGAGGGCAAAATGCAAAGGAATTAATCATAAACTAACCTTGCATAAGAATCTGGCATGGGGCCATAAGGAAAGGATAGATTGAGTGCACTTATGTCATGTCGTCGCCTGAGATCGTTCCAAGGATTCCAAGCAACTGTAGGCAAACCTGGAGGTCGCTTCCTGTTTGGGGCAAGTGGTATGTTTGCAATAGGATACGCATCTGAAAATTTTGTAGATGAAAGCTTTACATGTTAATGAGTATAATATAATTTGGAATATTCCCTAGAAATGAATACTATATTGCAACAAGAATTCTGTATAAATAAATTGAGGTATTCTTATACAATATACATCATAATATTTCCCAAGCAAATTTACAAAAAGCTTAAATTAAACTTACTTAAAATGAATTACAGTGTAAATATTTTTTGAAAATGTGTAATACAAAATTGTAAGGATTGGTGAATTCCAGATTCTAATTTCAAAGATTTTACTCAACTTTATTCAAATAAACAGTAAATTATTTAATTTTTATGATATATAATTTTTGTTAAAGTATCTACTTATTGTATATTTTATGAAAGATAAATAAATATTTACATTTCACATATTCACTCACCCAAGAACTCCAATGGAAACTTAAGAGGAATGTGAGGCTTATGATAACCAACAGCAAGGAAAAATGGTTGTTTTTCATTATCACTCTTGGATTCTTGTTTTAGAGCCCATTTTTGCAACCAAGAAGTAGCAAATTCTGTACTCTGGATATCAGGCAATGATCCGCCTGGCTGCTGTTCAACCTGCAATGTATTAAACACATTCAGTATCTTGTGACCTTTTTGAAATTTGTAAACATCTTCTTCATAGAATAGCTGGATCATAGCCAATTGCTAGAAATGCAGAGTAACCTTACACAAGAGGTGCACGGGACTCTTCTGTTATGAGAAAGGATGATCTGATGCTAGATATTTCCTGTCTCCATCTTTTCATTTCTGTTTAAAAATACAATTTCTGGTAAAGCTGTATGTGCCCCCCTCTCTCCTATCCATTCCCACACCTTATAATCATAAGCGGGATTCATGTTGAATGAATAGTAAATAAACCAACAAAGAGAAGAACAAAAAAATATACATATACTCCAAAGTCCCTTTTTCTGTATTTTCAGGGTATGCACCCTGCAGGAGAAATTCTGCAAAAAGGCCTTTGGCATATTCATGTCTTTTCTTCTTTTTCCCTTCATTTTTTTATTTTAATCATATGCATTCTAACTATTCTTATCAAGTAAATTATGAAAAGCACATATGTACCAAAATTTAAGAGGCATGAAGGTCAGTAGTCTATAACAGACAATTCAATGACTGGTGTGAGGGTAGGTATATCCCATTTTAGTACTGAATCCATGTAAGACATCTATGCAACAGACTTTCATGTAAATTACTACTACTGCCTTCATAGATAATAAAAAAAAAAAAAAAAAAAAAATATATATATATATATATATATATATATATATATATATATATATATATATATATATATATATATATGAAAAATCCCCACCTCGTGTGCATGGACTCTTTTGCCATCCTTTTCGGATTAAATAAAAAAAGGCTACCTAATGTTTCAACACACTACATTTTCTATTTATTACATGTGGATAATTTTATTTTTTGAAGTCTGAGAACCATTAATATTTCTAAATATTACAATGACTCCCTGCAATACTCTTTTGTTATTAAAAATATTCTGGCCTTTAAAATACTTTGACCTACATACTGACAGTAATGTTTTCAGTTATTATACACATAAATTAAGTCATAACTTTCACACCAGGTAAAAGTAATACCTGAACGGGACAATAGATGTCGGTGTATAATCTGCCATCGGCACCTAAGCACACTGGCTCTTGTTTATAAGCCTGTGTAGGTGGATGATAAGGTGTTTCGGACCAGCTATAGGGTTGGTCATCACTTTTGTTACTCACAATACCTATAAGTAGAAAGGAGAAAAAAAAAAAGTTGTGATCTTTCTAGTTCCTAATTCTCATGAAAGCCAGCTATTAGACTGAAAATAAGAAGTGTATGAAAGAATTTGAATAGAAAATCACATAAGTATACCTGCGTGGCTCATGCACAGCCCTCCCCTCCCCCCTTAAAAACAAGACATTTATGATTATCAAGAAAAAATATGTTCCATGTATCTACTCTGCATGACATCATTCAGAAACTCGTGCTATAGCCCTATCATCAACTAACATTTTATTGAGTACTCAAAGGCTATAAATATTGTAATAATAACTTTACAAATGATATTTTCTTGGATATCTATCTTCTTAATGAAACAAATTTGTACTAAAATGACTTAAAACATTTACTTTTTAAGTTATTTCAACTGAATTGCAAATTTCATGAACTTCATAAAACCCATTATTAGACATGCAATACAGTCTAGTGATGAACATGTTGAGATTCCTGTAATCCAAATAACTATAAGTGAGGGCCCTAAACCTCTGATCCCAAGAAAAGAAAAAAAGATATATATAAATACACACACAAACACACACACACACACACACACACACACACACACACACACACACACGCACACGCACGCACGCACGCACGCACGCACGGCACGCACGCACGCACGCACGCACGCACGCACGCACGCACGCACGCACGCACGCACGCACAACACACACACACACACAACACACAACACACACACACACACACACACACACACACACACACACACACACACACACACACACACACACACACACATATATACACACATATACACACACACACATACACACACACACACACACACACACACACACACACACACACACACACACACACACACACACACACACACACACACACACACACACACACACACACACACACATATATATATATTCAGTGTCTAAGGTATCTATTTTCATATGAAATGTATTTATTGGGGTATCAAATTACTACATAAAATAAAGAAACTTCCTTATAGGTTGAATTTAGAAATCCAAAAGTATTCTGGAATAAGAGAGCATAACCTGCTGATATCAGATTGGCAAGAAAACATGCTGTGTTCACTGTATCATTTTGTTTACTGATTGTGTTTACACACAGATGGCTCCACAAAAGCATGGATTTACCTTGCAACATTGGGTTAATGTCAGGTGATATACAAAAGTCCCACAGAAAAAAAATATCTGACCTTTAGTCTCTACT